GTAAGTCAGTACATACTCAAGAGAGAGACTTCCACAGGCAGGGGCAGTAGAAAACAGAGAACATAGGTAAGTTTTCTCTGATGCAAATCATCTTCCCCTGTGCCCACAAAAAGAGTTTTAAAACCAAAGTTCTCCTAATATATTTTAAGCATAGTGTATTGAAAATAGAATTTGACAACTGTGAAATGAGATTCTGAATAGAGAGATTTAGCAATATTTAAACAGGACGTTTGTCTCAAAGGCATTGTACTACTGTTAATTTCTTGGTTTTTCTACGGATAGTTATATGAAATGATTGCTTTGGAGAGCCCAAGAAAAAGCAGCTACATAGTAGCTGATGGTGGTGGTGGGGATAACCAAGAGACTCCCTATCTGTGAACTGTGTGAACTATAACAATGACCAGTGTGGTAACATGCTCATGGGTACAATTGTGACAAGAATATGGGAGTAACCAATTGTTTTCTGATTGGACTTCAGGCCTGCTCCACAGGAGGAAACAGGTGACTCAAATTGTAAATCTGGCCTAGAACTCTGGCTTAGGGATCTCATAGGCCCCAGGTTTGAGCCTACTACTACTAGTCTTTCCAATGGACAAGCTATCAAACTGATTACTATAACTTTGTATCTCCATATCCACCAATTTGTGCAGATCTTAGACTTCATCCGAAAAGTTTTTTGTGCAGGTGATGGTGGCTAATGCAGATTGTGGCTGGTCAACATGCAGAGAAGAGATTAAGTGATTGTGGCAGGCTCAGCCACAAATGGACCATCTATTATCATGCACCCCTTCCCCCCCACCCCCCAGTCAAGGCTCAGGGACCACCCTGGAAAAAAGGGAAGAAAGATTGTAAGAGTCAAAAGTCAAAGGGAAGCAGAATGAAAATGTGACTCCTGGACTTGATGTGACACTGTACTCATAAATTCACAGCAGCTGTGGCTACCTGCCCAAGACCAAGCCAGTCAATGTTCTAGTATAGGCAAGATCTCACCTCTGAGGGCCAGTGAACAGTTGATGCCTTTGGGGAGGGAGGGAGAGGGAGAGTCAAGTTTCCTCAAGAGCAAGGTCTGTAGTAGGTCAATCACATTCCAGTGGGTGGTCCTGAATTCAGGAGTATGGACAGCACAAACTGGACTTAGTAGTTTATTAAAAACAAAAGGACACAAAGTTGGGGGTTAGGAGGTGATGGTGGATCTGAAGACAGTAGGGGAAGAAGTGAGGGATGGATTTGATCAGAATATATTGCATGACGGTGATAGTTACATGAAATTCTCAAAGAATTTATAGGAAGCATTTCTAAAAAGTAGCTCAAATTGATAGAAAAAATGTGATTTATAACTTTAAAAGCCTATGGCCATTAGTTTATTTTGTAGCTCTAACTTCTTTAAAACATTTACATTTATAACTATCATAATTTTCTTTTAGATAAACATCTATATAACTTTAGATATATCATAATGCAATTTTCTAGAAATAAATTTAGTAATGAAGTTATAGATTATTTTAAGAATACTTTTTGGTAGGTTAATTATTTAAAAACACTCTCACTAGTGAAAAATATTCCAAGTCCTTGTTATCACTTTGTGATAGCATATTTCCAAACTTATCAAATGTGTCAACAAATAATTGTAGAGGCAGATCAGAGCTCTCTGGCTTCACTTGAGTTGAAATGCATCAGGACATTTTTGTACCACACCCAATGTACTTCACACATCAATTAAGAACAATCAGCCTTTCTAAAATAGCCATTCTGATAGCCAAAGTGAACCTTCCCTTGTGTTGAGCACTGTTTTCCAGTTGCCAGAGTGTTGTTGCTTGGATATAGATACTTACATTCCAAAATAGTGTAGCCTGTCTCATCATCCTGTTCCCTGTGATGAAAAGCAAAGAGCATTCACTCTTCACAGGCAGCTGAATTTCAGGCAAAACAAGAACAAATGGTTCCTCATTTGCTCACTGTTTGTAAGGGCTCATAGTTATTAATACTCTAACCCTAGCTCACATATTCTGGTCCAGCAATTCAAAACTCATGGGGTTTCTGTCAGTTACACCTCTTAGGAGACCTATTTGGAAACACTCTAGACATTGTTTCCCAGTTGATAATTTTAGAACAGATGGTCTGATGATATTTTAGTAGTTCTGTCTTCCCCGCACAAACTTTGAGAAAAGTGTTACTTCTTACAGTTCATCAAGGCTGATGGGGTTATCACAGCCTCGGTGCTCCTCTGAGAACATGCTCTCAAGAGTGAATTTAAACTTAACAAAGTGTTCATAATAAGATAATTATGGGAAATGGTCCAAACAAGAGCTCTTCCAAATTGCTCATCTTTCAACTGGGGAAACTGAGTCTTGGTGTGATTGAACTGCCTGCCGGTTTAAGGACAGACAGTATCAGAATATCCATGGGAGGGTCTGTGGTGGGGGACTTAGGAAAATGGTAGAGAGTGAGAGTCCATGGTGATGAGTTAGCTTCTGAGTTAAAGACTTTAACTTCAGGACATGAAAAAAGACCACTAGGCCCCTGTGTGAAACTTCATCATCACTGTTGACTGGGACATCTTGGGAAAAAACACGGGATGGTGAAGAGTAAGTGGTCTCAGAGATAAAGAAAGCTCCCAGAACCACTGGGGAGACTTATCTACTTTTAGTTCTTTCTGCAAATATCTAATTGTGGTTTGAATGAAAATGGCTGTAATATGCTCATATGTCTGATACTCAGTCTCAATATTAGTCCTGTTGGTGGAACTGTTTGGGAAGGATTAAAAGCTGCGTGTTGGAGGAGGTGTGTTACTTAGGGCAGGCGTTGAGGTTTTAGAAGCCCTCCCTCAGCTTTTCCAGTTGGCTGTCTCTGCTTGTGGATCCAAGGTGTGAGCTCTCAGCTGTCCCTGCCGCCATGCCTTTGTTCTACCACCCTAGACTCTAACCCTTTGAAATATTTTTTGTTTGTTTTGTTTTGTTTTTTCTTGAGACAGGGTTTCTCTCTACTGCTTTGGAGCCTGTCCTGAAGCTAGCTCTGTAGATCAGGCTGGCCTCGAACTCACAGAGATCAGCCTGTCTCTGCCTCCTGAGTACTGGGATTAAAGGTGTGCAAACCCTTTGAAATCTTAAACCCCAAGTGAAATGCTTTCTTTTACATGTTGCCTTGCTCTTGTGTCTTATCACAGCAATAGAAACACTAAGACACTAATATATTCCTGAGTGGTTATCAGCACAAATTCATGTTTTATGTTCTCAATGTAACTTGTTTAAAGGCAAAAATTCCTGTATCAAAAAATCAGTATCAAAATTAATTACATATTAATTTAAATAGATTATTTTTAAAAGATAATCTTAGGGAGCTGGGAAGATGGCTCAGCAATTAAGAACACTGCTTGCTCTAACAGAGGTTCTGAGTTCAAATTCCAGCAACCATATGGTGGCTTACAACCATCTGTAACAAAATCTTGGGCAGACATACAGGCAGAACACTGTAAGCATAACAAATTTTTAAAAAATCCTTTTAAAAAAGATAATTTTAATATGATTTTTAAAAGAATCTTTTATTTTTTTATTAGGATGCCATTGTTGAGAGATGCCTGCTGGTAAAGGCATGTAATACCAGCAGCTTGGTAGCTTGATGCAGGATGACCACAAGTTCATGGTCTGTTAGGGCTACAGAAGAGTTCAAGGCCAGTATGGGCAACCTAGTGAGATCTCGTCTCAAAATAAGGACAGAGAATGGGAAATGTAGGATCAGCAGCATGAACAATGCCCTGAGTGTGACTCCATCACCACCACACAATGTAAACATTGAAAACTCCTTCTCCACTTCTTAGCTATAACAAGATTTCTCCTTCAAGGCCCTCAAAGACCATGTTAGAGCCAGTCTAACCCTGGTGGCAGGTCCCATCATGTTTCTGTAATTGATGGAACAAATGATATATAAGCTTGTTTGAGCAATGAGTATGTAAATCCAGTATCATTGTTAGATCATGTATAGATCAAGACCTGGAAGCTCACACATCTGCTTTCTTCTCCTACCTCTGCCATAGTTAAGACAGTAGTAATAAGCATGTGACATTTAAATCTGCCCCAGAATCTTCACGGCTCTGTGATTCCCAGGAAAGGTTTATTACAGTGATCAAACATTGTATGATTCTGTGATATTAAGATTTGAAACAAAAATTTTCTGTTTCTTTCCCAGTTTCCTTAAAATTCTCTAAAATGTTTTTGGCAAGATTGGCAAGGATAAAAGATACAGCCTACAGATGTAAGCCTAGAAGGCCACTTGGCTCTAAGAGGAGACAGTCCATGGCTTTGACATTGCTAGAGCTTAGGTTAACATTCCCAGAGCAAACCTGGGATCCAGGAGTGTTTGGTTACTTATAACAAGGATGAGAACAAGCTCCAGAGGCATTATTGTTTTTACTATTGTTGGTGGCACACATCTTTTACTTTGCAGAATACAAAATGGAAGTTTGATAAATTTTTTTTTAAGTACATAAGATTTTCTGAGCTATAGCTTGTCTGGATAAGTTTTCCATGAGAGCCAGGGAGGATAAAAAACAAAACAAAACAAAAACAAAAACAAAAACAAAAAACAGTTTTCTCTATTTGCCTCTAAGAGATAGTTTGGATTTCTCAAATGAAAGATAAAAAGTGAAAGTAATATACTTTTTACCTACTTTTGCTCTTTCAAACTGGGGACCCCTCCATTTTTTTGTTGACTAGTATATTTTAACACAGAAAGCTTAAGAACAATAATTTGGAGGAAATGCTTCTACAAGAGGTGACTGCATTCAGTGTTGTGAAACTAGCTTCTTATCTTCAGAACTGGGTGATATAATTGGGTGGCTAAAATTGTCATAGGACTGAATATAGAAGTTTAAATGGCTGACTGCAGATAAGAAATGTAAGTTAATAGTTCACATTATCTTACTTGTGGCTGGCTTTAATATCATTATTATTATCTTAAGGACTGTTTGATAAAGATATTAAAACCCCCTTTATCTTTCTGTGTAGGCATGGCCTCCTGCCCTGTAGATCTTTCTGTGAGGCTGCAAAAGAAGGCTGTGAGTTTGTCCTGGAGATGGTGAACTTCACCTGGCCAGATTCCCTCAGATGCTCGCAGTTTAGAGACCACACTGAGAACAGTGATGTCAGCAAGATCTGCTTCTCCCTTGAGCAGGAGCATGGAAGACAATGTAAGTATCTGTGATTCCTTTTAAAGTTTTAAATTCAGATATACTACCCACTTAGCAACAGCTACATAAATAGGTGTACTGTCTAATATAATTTAAAAAACGAGCAGGTTAAGGATGATTAACAACACCTAGAGATGCCCTCAATAGCCCTCTTAATTGTCTCACCTTTGCCAAAGAAATCTCTGTCCTGACCCCCATCACCCTAGCTAGTTTTGCTTATTACTGAACTTTATGTAAATAAAATAATTAAATAATGTGTGATAGCTCTGCATCTTTATGCATTTGCTTAACATTATGCTTGAGCAATGCATTGCGTTTATTGCAGGTTCCATTTCAGTACACCTAATACTCCATTATAGAAAAATATTTTTCTTGTCTGCTATTGATGGACATTTAGGTTATTTGCAGTTTCAGTTATGATGATGAACAATGCTGTTACTATTTTCACACATGTCTTTGGTTGAACATAATTGTGGGCTTGCTCAGTCAAAATAGTTCTCTAAATAGTTATATGGGCTTATACTCCTGGAATCTATGTGTGAGAGATCAGCTTGTTCCCATCCACTCCCAACCTTGGCATTTTCAATCTCAGTTTTACATTTTTTTTTTTTTTTTTTGGTGAGAGCAGTGAGGCATCTCACTGTGATTTTAAGTTATTTTTCCCTGAGAAATTTAATCATAGTTTTAAAAATGTGTAACTGTTTCATGATCCCTCCTACGGTACAAATATTTGTCCATGTCCCAATGGTCTCATTAATTTACAGTTCCATATGCAGCATGGATTTATCCATTTATGGTTTTTATCTGAAATGTTGCACAGAAACTCATTTGCTAACAGCTCGTCTACTGGCCTGTAGCACTGTGGAGAGTGTCTGGAGCCTTTAAGAGGTGGAGCACAGTAGAATGAAGTTGGGTATCTGATGTCTAGCCCCTGAATTGGGTATTGGGACCCTGGCCTCTCATTTCCATTTTTTTTTTTTTTTGCTTCCCAACCACCACGAGGTGAACAGCCTCATCTACCATGTGCCTTTGCCATTATATTTTACCTCTGAATAGTCTCAAAGTGATGTGGGTGACAATGAACCAAAATCTCTAAACTCTGAGGCAAAACAATCTCTCCTCCATTCAAACTGTTTATTTCAGGTATTTTGAGCACAAAGCTGACTGGATAGATGGTAATTATTGGGTAGATGTATTGTAAAAATCTCTGATTGTGTTTCCCTAGTTTCAACACTTATGCTTCTTATTTTCTGTACATGGAACAGAAAAAGAGAGAGTTACTATTTTCATTAATTATTTGAAATTTTCATATGATGTACTTTGATCATATTCACGCCTCCTCTTCCAACTCCTCTCAGATCCACTTGTTTCCCTGTCCACCCAACTTTGTGTCTTCATTTAAAAAATAATCTACTGAGTCTGATTTCTGCTGCCCATATACTCTTGGGTGTGTGGCCATCCACTGGAATGTAGTTAACCTACAAGGTGCTTGATCCTTAAAGAAAATGGACTCAACCTCTCCCAATAGCTCTCAGTTGCCAATAGCTCCTTAGCTAAGGGTGAGATTTCATTACCATTTCCTTACTTCATGCTGGGATTTGGTCTGGCTACAGCTTGTGTTCGTATCACAATCACCATGAGGCCATATTTGCAATGTCCCTGATGTGTCTAGAAAACATGGTTTCCTTGTAGTCATCCACTGCCTTTGGCTCTCACTGTTTTTTTTTTTTTTTATCCCTTATTCCATAGTGATCACTAAACTTTGGAGGGGGTATAATATAATTTCTATTTAATGCAGAGCACTAAGAAATCTCCTCTTGTCTGTGACTTGACCAGTTTGAGTCTCTGTGTTAATCTCCATTTAATGAAGCTTCTCTGATGAGGTTTGAGAGACTCACTAGTCTATGAGTATAACAATAAGTTATCAGGAATCATTTTAACAATATGTCCATTTAGAGAATAATTGTACCAGGGCCTATGATCTGTTAAGCCATAGGTTATTTGTCTCTACCACCGTGCCATGTATGAGCAGACTGACTCCAATCAGAAGGTTGATGATTACCCCCATGACATTTGTGCCACTGTTGTCTCCCCAGGACAGTCATTGTAGCTCACAGGGCTCACCACTGAGTCAGACTGATAATTCCTTTTCTCCTCTGGTAGCACACATAGCACCTTTCTATCACTATGAAATGTAGACATTAGGGATGAAGCTTCCAGGTATGTACCAGATTGTTTTCTTCCCTTGTTCTAGGACTCAAGTATGTGGCTCAGCATTAGGGTCTTACTGTTTATGGAAGAATCCAGTGGATACTCTTAGATTTGGGGACTTCTGTTTGTAGTTTTATTTTGAGGAAGGGAGGCTTTATTTGGCTTACATTTTCAAATCACAGCCCATCATTGAGGGATGTTAGAGAAGGAACTCACTCAGGAACTTCAGAGCAGGACCTGAAGTAAAGATCATGGAGGCTTGCTTTTTACTGGTTTCCTTCGTCAGGCTGGCTCAGCTACTTTTCTTCTATAGACCAGGTCCACCTGCCTAGGAATGACACTTTCCACAGTGGGATGGGCCCGCCTACATCAACTTGCAATTAAGAAAATATATCATAGACATGGCTTAGTTGAGATTCATTTTTCCCAGATGGATCTAGATTGGTGTCATTTTTAATTTAAAAAAGTTTTAAAATCAAAATATAATTATATTATTTCTATTTTTTCTTTCTTTTTTCTAACCCCTCCCATATACCCCCATTACTCCCTCAAGCATATTTTACTTTAATTGTTTTATCTATTATATTGTTATAATATGACAAATATATATGTGTGTGTATTGTATTCCTAAAATATAAAAATAATTGTTCTGTATAATATAGCTTTTTTTTTTAAAAAATCATAAAATGTTTTTGTATTTTACCAAAAGCTTTCTTTATGTCTGTTAAGATCATCTATTGTTTTCTTCCTATTAGGCTACATGATAATAACTCCATTTTCATTTAGGCATTGGTGATGCTCTCTTTCTTGGTAAGTGTAAGTAAGTGTGAGTGCCAGGTTTCAGTACCAAAATTTAAGTGAGTATGGGTGTTATAGCTCTGGAACTGTAAAAGTGTCCTTACTTATCAGGAAGCCAGGCTACCTAGATCCACAACAGGACAGCCCTGGAGACTGGAGCTGCAATAGGACAGCTTAGCCCTGGAGAGAAAGGTGTCCTTACTTGTCAGGAAGCCAAGCTACCTGAAGCTGGGATGGTCTACTCGCAGGATAGCCAATCCTGCTCTTCTTCTAGAGAGCTGTTATAGCTAGGGGAAGGTCCTAGCACAGCTATCCACTTCTTTCTCTTCCCAAGATGTTACTTCTACTACACTCTGCTATAGGGGAAGCCCCTGTGGAAATGCAGCAATCTCTTCCTACTCAGGCAGAGTTAGTAACTTTGCTCAGCCTTGTTCATACCGCTAAGGAAGTGTCTCAGCAAGGTTCTTCTGTTCTGCACTGGTGAATGAAGATCTTCACTCAAGACTCTTTTGAGAAAGAGATTTATTTGGGAAGGAGGAGTCCAGGAGAGTAGTTGCATCGGCCAGGGTGGGAGTGGAGACTGCCTTCTGTTTGAGTCTGAGAAGGCAGAGACATGAGATCCCCAGAGCAAGCTGGCTAAGGAGACCTGCTATGAGTCAGGCTCTGGATTTGATTTAGACATGCTGCTCATTTTACAAGGTGGGATAGTAATATTCATGATTCCTAACATCACCCTCAGGCATCCACAGGCACAAACACTCACAAGCACATACACTCACTGTGATGGTTTGAGTAGCAATGGTCCTAATAGCCGTACATATTTGAGTGCTTGGTCATTAGGGAATAGTACTACTTGGCAGGACTTAGGAGGTGTGGCCTTTTTGGAGTAGGTGTGGCCTTGTGGGAAGAAGTACATCACTGGTAGGTGGGCTTTGGGGTTTCAGAATCCATGCCTCTTGGCATATTCTCTTCCTGCTGCCTGAGGATCTGGATGGAGAACTCTCAGCTCCTTCTCCAGGAGCATGTCTGCCTGTGAGTCACAATGCTTCCTGACATGCTGATAGTGGACCTCTGAAACTGTAAGTAAGGCCCAATTAAATGCTTTCCTTTATAAGAATTGCCATGTTCACTGTGTTTCTTCATAGCAATAGGACATTGACAAGGACACTTTCACTTGTACCCCATCCACAAAAACTTACCATCACACAGACACACAGACACAGACACACACACACACACACACACACACACACACACACACACACACACACACCCCAAAACTCCTATTTGATCTATTTGTCTTATAGTAACGAATTTTTATACTTAGAACATTTTGTACGTTACTCTACCAGTGATTCTCAACCTTCCTAATGCTATGGCCTTTTACTACAGTTCCTTATGTTGTAGTGACCCAACCATAAGTGTAATTTTTTCTACAGCTGTGAAATGTAATCTAAATATCTTATATGCAGGATGTCTGATATATGACCACCAAAGGGGTCATGACTGAGTCTATTTTCTTTAGTTCATTTCTTTGTATAACTGAGACTACCCTAATTCACCTCTGATGAGAGTTTTAGCAATCGAGATAGTGCTATGATGCCAGGGTGTCTGTCTCTGTCACTAGTGATGACATATTTTTTTAAATTAATTTTTTTACATCCTGACTTCATCTACCCCTCCATGCTCTCCTTTCATTCCTTCCCCCCTCCTCCCTCCACCTCTCCATTCTATCCCTCCTCCTTATTCACTCAGAAAGGGGCAGGCCTATCATCAGCAAAGCATGGTCTATCAAGCTGCCATAAAACCAATCACATCTTTATGTTCATTCTCCCCTGAGTTCTCCAGGTCAGCATTTCTGTCTTATGACCCCATTTCTTGGACTATCCCTGAGACCAACCGTCACAAGTTGGGTTCTCTAGAAACAGTCATTAAAAGAAAGTCTGAGACACATTGCTTACTTATTGGGACTCAGTCTGTTTGTTGTAGAG